TAAAGTAATGGTTGATGAGGAGAAATATTTGGGGAGGTCAGCCCCCCAGAAAAAGCTTTGGACAGTGGCAATAACCTCACCCTTCACAGCATGCCAAGCCTTTTTGTAGAAGTCAGCAGAAAACCATCAGGGCCAGCCACCTTTGTGCTGTCTATGGATTTAAGAGCTTCCCAAATTTCCGTTTCATCAGGGATGTTAGTAAGGGATAGACTATTAGTAAATTCCCTTTCTTTGTCAAAAGTGTTGCATTGATGGTAGAGTTAACAGTTGAGTTATTCCTGAACAATTTTTGGAAATAATGTACAACATCATTAGCGATTCCCTCAGCATTGGTAATCCAGTGCCCCTCCTGAGAAAGGATTTTATGAATTTTATTGCTTTTCCTCCTATAGTTAATGCAAGCATGGTAGTATTTAGAGTTTCTGTCACCCTCACAGAACCTGGTTTTGTTTGCCTTTTGAGCATAGAGAGCCTCTTGCATGTTGATCAGTTCCAATAAGTTTTCATTGGCTAACTGGAGATCCATATCAGACCCCATATCAGTAACCAATAGTTGTTCTAACTGTAAAACTTTTTGTTCAGCTTCAAAAACTTTCTTATCAATGTTCTTTGGTTATATATATATATATATTTGAATGAAGGTATAAATGGTTTCATTAAATCCAATCCCCATGCATAAAAAATTTCAATTTCCAAATTAAACTTTAGAGGCACTTCATTTCTTTTTTAAATATTACCTACTCTCTGACACTGATCACATATTTTTCTAAAAATATTAACATCTCCAAATAGAGTAGGCAAATAAAATCCAGATTGCAAAATTTCATGAACAGTTCTATCATTCCCAAAAAGTCCTCCAAATTCATAACCATGACATTTTTGAATAATTTTCTGAATATCTTTGTAAGACACACGTCATCTCATTATAGATCTTTGCATTTTTTATATAAATAGAGGTCATCCTAAAAATATGACTTTGCATCATGAATGAATTTATTTTCCTGTTGCTTTGTTAATCCATGTGGTAAAATACTACTAACAATATAATTTACAATATCAGGATAGCAAGGTATTTCCCATCCTTTTACAACATAAATTTGTTTATCAGAAAAAGTTTCATTAATTTCTTTTTTCCATGTCAAGTATTCCTTCTTGTTCTTGCCTGGATAGATGATCAGCAATTTTATTATCAATCCTTTTCCTATCGAGTATTACAAAATAAAACTCTTGCATCAGAAGTACCCATCTAATTAGTCTCGGTTTTGCATCCTTCTTTTCTAATTAGTCTCGGTTTTGCATCCTTCTTTTGCATCAAATATTTAATATCCAAATGATCAGTATGCACGACACATTTAGCTCCAATCAGATATGACCTAAACTTATCTAAAGCATACACAATGGCTAATAACTCTCTTTCAGTGGTGGTGTAGTTAATCTGAGCATCATTAAGAGTCTTACTAGCATAGTATATAACTTCAAAAAGCTTATCATACATCTGTCCTAATACAGGTCCAATTGCATATTCACTAACATCACACATTAATTCAAAATTTTGTTCCCAATCGGGCGAAATAATTATAGAAGCAGTGATCAATTTTTCCATTAAAGTTGCAAAGGTTTTAAGGTAGTTTTGGGTAAAATCAAATTTTTTATCTTGTTCTAGAAGTTGGCATAAGGGTTCAGTAATTTTTGAAAAATCTTTAATATATCACTTGTAAAATCCAGCATGTCCTAAAAAGCTCCTAACTCCTCTTCTATTAGTAGGCGGAGGTAACTTTGATGTAACCTAAATTTTTGCAGGATCTACTTCCTTGCCATTTTCTGAAATTTTATGCCCAAGCACAATTCCTCCTACAACCATAAATTGACATTTTTCTCAGTTCAATACAAGGTTAGTCTTTTTGCAACATTCAAGACCTTTCTCGAAATGATTTAGACATATTTCAAATGAAGTTCCAAACACAGAAAAATTGACCATAAGAACTTTAATCCCTTTTCCAATAAAATCACTGAAATTGACATCATACATCTTTGAAATGTTGCAGGTGCATTACATAATCCAAAGTGCATTACATATAATCCAAAGGGCATTCGCCGAAAAGGAAAAGTTCCATAAGGACTAGTAACTGTTGTTTTCTCCTGATCCTACTGAGCTATAAATATTTGATGATCGCTGGTATATCCATCTAGAAAACAAAAATAGCAGTGCCCAGCTAGCCTATCCAACATCTAACCATTTTAAAATTTCTTTCTTAATAACTTCTTTCATCATAGGATTTCATCATAGGATTTAATCTCTTAATCTCTTTTGAAGATCAGCTCTTGGTTCATGTTGATCTTCCAATAAAATTCTATGCATACAAATTAAAGGACTGATTTCTTTAATATTAGTTAATGTCCATACAAAGGCTTTCTTATATCTTCCCAAAGTTTCAAAAAATTGTTGTTCTTTCTTATCGGTTAACTATGAGGACACTATAACATGTAATGTAGATAAATCTCCTAAGAATGCGTACTTCAAATGTGGTATAAGTGCTTTCAATTCTAGTTCAGGTGGTTTCTCAATAGATGAAATCAAATTCTTATTACTTTTTGTAGGATCTAACATTTCATTTTTTTTCTAAACATAATCCAAATCTTTTTTACTCACTTCTGTAGATTCATCTTGAATTTTATCCTCATTTTGATATTCCATATATTCTTTTTCAAATTCCTTTTCAAATGTCTTTTTGAAATATTTATGGCTTAGATATTCATTAATATATATTTTGAAGCATTCAATCTCTTGCTCTTTTGTAGGGTATCTCATTGATTTTGCAATATTAAATCTAACCTCTTGATCACTAACTCTAATAATTAGTTCTTCTTTCTACAAATCTATCAAAGCTCTTCCAGTGGCAAGGAATAGTCTTCCTAAAATGATAAAAATTTCTTTATCCTCCTTTATATCTAATACAATAAAGTCCATATGAATGATATATTTATCAACTTTTACCAAAACATCTTCTATAACTCCTTTAGGATAGGTAGTTGAACGATCAACTAACTGAAGAGTTACAGTTGAAGGTAAAATATCTTCTAAGCCCAACCTTATGAAAATTGATAACAGCATAAGATAAATATTGGCTCCTTGATCCCAAAATTGTTTATAAGCATAGTATAACAATGTCTTTAATTATAATTTTCACTTATGTTTCCTTACTTTGCAACAGTACCAAAATTTTGATCCTGAAGAAAATAAGAATTTAACTTTTTAATTTATATATATTGGGATACTACGAAAGTATACGTATTATTATCAAGTAATATAGGACCTTTTGATTAAGACTTGAATATCGAATCCATAGGGAAATGCACAATATGCACTATTGAACATCAAACTTTCTATTTTAAAAAGTAAATTACTTAAACTAAAAATATTTTATTAGCATTAAAATTC